ATGTAGGCAATCCAGGTCCCCTACATGGACAGACATAACTACACCAATCAGAGAAAGTTTTACATGTAGGCAATCCGGATCCCCTACATGGACAGATATAACTACACCAATCAGAGAAAGTTTTATATGTAGGCAATCCAGGTCCCCTACATGGACAGACATAACTACACCAATCAGAGAAAATCTTACATATAAGATACTCCGGTGGGACAGCGATAAGTTTACACACTTGCAACGCTAAAATGCGACGTTCGATTCTCCGCGGTGGACACAGCAGATAGCTAACTTTGGCTTTGCTTTAAAGAAAAACAACAACCAATCAACTGAAATATAGGTAATACAGTCTCTTTCTTGAAGATATGTTATTGCACCATTGACAGTTAGAAAAAATCCTGTATAATTTCAGTTTCTTTTCAATATGGCACGCAGCTTTTAAGGACATTAATGATGCGCGCCCCCCAGTGGCACAGCGGTATGTCTGCGGACTTACAACGCCAGAATCCGGGTTTCGATACCCGTGGTGGGCAGAGCACAGATATCCCATTGTGTAGCTTTGTGTTTAATTACAAATAAAAAATAAACATTAATGATGTATGAGAACTCTAAATAAACGAACGAATCGTCATTTTTTGTTGTTGCTTTCACCTATAGTTAGTTTTGGCAACTAAAGAAAGCTTACTAGATGAAGAGATCTCTCATAAAACTAAATGCATTCCCCCCTTTGCGGTCGATACTTTCGGTGGGCACAGCACAGATAGCCAGTTATGTAGCTTTGTGCTTAACTAGAAACAAGAATAGTCAACAAAACGTGGTGGAACTGGACAGACTGGTGCTACTTTTCTGTAGTAACTTGTACAATCTATCTTCGATGTAGTTCTAGACCAAATGTATCTTTTTTTCTTTTTTTTTAACAACGGACTTTGCCGATGAGAAAAAAACGCCTCTTTGAAAATCGCTCTTCGGAATGTTGATTGTTATTAATTAACATTGAAAAAAAATTTCAACGCGGTTTGGAATACTGTTTGTTTAAAATGAAAAGTTCAGAAAAAAAGCTAAAAGGGGGAAGGAAATATATGTTACCCTCATATGTTGCCTTGGTAAAGATGGTTCATCACGAATAAATATATATATGTTACCCTCATATGTTGCCTTGGTAAAGATGGTTCATCACGAATAAATATATATATGTTACCCTCATATGTTGCCTTGGTAAAGATGGTTCATCACGAATAAATATATTTCTTCATCGTTTTTCCGGTCCAATCAAAGTAATTATAACAACAAATTAATTATAGCAACAACAACAACAACAAATAAACAACTAAAGCACGCGAATATGTTTCACAAACAACTTAACAAACGCTATGTACCCATATTGAAACAGCTAGGCCTAATTTCTTGAAGTAGACTCATGCAGTATTATTTCTCGCCCTAGTTAAATGCTAAAATTATCAGAACTAACTACATATACATTTCTGTGTACCGATAAAACTGAAATTCATTCCTGAATAAGGAGACGAAGTGGAAGGCCTGGTATCATTTGTCTCCACTGTTAGATAATTTAATACAGTGAATGGTGTATAGTGATAAAGGAACGACATTGGAAGAACAAAGAACACCAAGCGACTCATTATCGGCAACACATTTGTAAGATTCGATTCGTTTAAGGCTTTGTAGAGCTCTAGTCATTAGTTGCTAAGTTCTTCTAATTGCACACATGGGAAACCTAGCGACCGCTCTAACTTACACTCTGTAGTGTGAAGATGTATGAAAAGAAATCCGATAAGAATATGTAAAAAAACATTATCTGTATTAGAGCATTGTGTATTTATGGCAAAAAATTAAACATAACTGTTATTTGGACAGCGTGTTATTTCTCCTGGAAGGTTGCAGCCAACTAAAAAAGCTTTATATTGGATTGGAACTTTTGGAGAAAAAAAAATTCACAAGATTTGTTCAATTATCGAGCCCCCCCAGTAGCACAGCGGTATGTCTGCGGACTTACAACGCTAGAATCCGGGTTTCGATACCCGTGGTGGGCAGAGCACAGATAGCCCATTGTGTAGCTTTGTGCGTAACTTCAAACAAACAAACAATCAATTATCGAAAAGCCCCGAGAAATAAAAAAAAGTGTTGAACTGAATAATTAGTACACAAACCAATAGTTGTAGAAATGATAAGAAACAGAAAGAGACAAGTGTTACCGATTCTATTATTTGTAAACGTCTTCATAATCTTGGTGGTTAAAGAGTACCTTTCAACATTTTAAGGAGACGCACTGGCGCACGGGGTCTGTGCCCCGAATCCTCAGTTAATGTCTTGAAAAATTAGAAAGAAAAAAAACATGATTGATATGGTACTCAAACGCAGAAAATTCCTGCGCCTATGGGCCCGAACCCCGAATATTTTAAGCACCTAGCAACGCCTCTGACTTTAAGTAACCTTATACCGCGTGTATCTAAGTTCTTTCAAGTTTAATACATATACGTTTTTATAGCCCAGATAAACTTACTGGTTCATTACACGAGACATACAAAATTAAAAAATGAGCCAACGTGATGATTCTAGTTCACGATAACACTTGGTAACAGACTGATAAACAACGCGGCATTATTTCCCTTTAAAAGTTGGCTGCGGATGAAATAGGCTTTGTGGTGCGCTGACTGTGATTCCATTTTTCATCACTCATGCATCAGCTACTTCAAATGGAACGATATCATACCTTCCTGTAGTTTAGGGAACAAGTCTTACAATGCATGCGTCATATTTAATTACCGTGAATATCCACCTGCACGAGAAGACGTAACTTAGTATCTTCTACTAAAGCGCATTTTGCATTTTCTTTGTTTGTTTCTTTTAGAGCAAAACTACATTGGGCTATCTGTTGTGTCTACTGCAGGGAAATGAACCCCGGATTGTAGCGTTGTAACGAAAATACTTTCACCATAAAGACGGGACTAACGTAAAGACTTTCATCAAGAAGACAGGACTAACGTAAAGACTTTCATCAAGAAAAATGGACTAACGAAAAGACTTTCATTAAGAAAACAGGACTAACGTAAAGACTTTCATTAAGAAAACAGGACTAACGTAAAGACTTTCATCAAGAAAACAGGACTAACGTAAAGACTTTCATTAAGTAGATAGGACTAACGTAAAGACTTTCATCAAGAAAACAGGACTAACGAAAAGACTTTCATTAAGAAAACAGGACAAACGTAAAGACTTTCATCAAGAAAACAGGACTAACGTAAAGACTTTCATTAAGTAGATAGGACTAACGTAAAGACTTTCATTAAGAAGATAGGACTAACGTAAAGACTTTCATCAAGAAAACAGGACTAACGAAAAGACTTTCATTAAGAAGACAATAATAACGTAAAGACTTTCATTATGTAGACAGGACTAACGTAAAGACTTTCACGAAGAAGACAGGACTAACGTAAAGACTTTCATTAAGTAGACAGGACTAACGTAAAGACTTTCACGAAGAAGACAGGACAAACGAAAAGACTTTTATTAAGAAGACAATAATAACGTAAAGACTTTCATTAAGTAGACAGGACTAACGTAAAGACTTTCACGAAGAAGACAGGACAAACGAAAAGACTTTTATTAAGAAGACAAGAATAACGTAAAGACTTTGAAGAAAATAGGACTAACGTAAAGACTTTCATGAAGAAGACAAGAATAACGTAAAAACTTTCATTAAGAAAACAAAAAGAATAACGTAAAGACTTTCATGAAGAAGACAAGAATAACATAAAGACTTTCATTAAGAAGACAAGAATAACGTAAAGACTTTCATAAAGAAGACAAGAATAACGTAAAGACTTTCATTAAGAAGACAACAATAACGTAACGACTTTCATGAAGAAGACAAGAATAACGTAACGACTTTCATGAAGAAGACAAGAATAACGTAAAGACTTTCATTAAGAAGACAAGAATAACGTAAAGACTTTCATGAAGAAGACAAGAATAACGTAACGACTTTCATGAAGAAGACAAGAATAACGTAAAGACTTTCATTAAGAAGACAAGAATAACGTAAAGACTTTCATTAAGAAGACAAGAATAACGTAAAGACTTTCATGAAGAAGACAACAATAACGTAAAGACTTTCATTAAGAAGACAGGACTAACGTAAAGACTTTCATGAAGAAGACAAGAATAACGTAAAGACTTTCATTAAGAAGACAACAATAACGTAACGACTTTCATGAAGAAGACAACAATAACGTAAAGACTTTCATTAAGAAGACAGGACTAACGTAAAGACTTTCATGAAGAAGACAAGAATAACGTAACGACTTTCATGAAGAAGACAACAATAACGTAAAGACTTTCATTAAGAAGACAGGACTAACGTAAAGACTTTCATGAAGAAGACAACAATAACGTAAAGACTTTCATAAAGAAGACAAGAATAACGTAATGACTTTCATTAAGAAGACAAGAATAACGTAAAGACTTTCATTAAGAAGACAAGAATAACGTAAAGACTTTCATGAAGAAGACAACAATAACGTAATGACTTTCATGAAGAAGACAACAATAACGGAAACTTTCATTAAGAAGACAAGAATAACATAAAGACTTTCATGAAGAAGACAACAATAACGTAAAGACTTCCATTAAGAAGACAAGAATAACGGAAATATGAAAGGAACGGAAGAAGTAAAAGAAAGATAAAATATGAAGGCCAGAAAGATGTAAAATGTCCGTGATAAATATTTTTTCCTTATATACAATAAAGTCTTAATTTAGTATTTTGATGTGGGCAACAAATGGAATGTCAAAATTTCCAAATTTATAATTTATGCAAATTAATTTAAATTAATACTTTATTCTCTCTCTCTATATATATATACAGGAAACGTTTATAAAATAATTTGATTAATTAAGTAATTTTAGTGGTTGTTAGGGTGGGTATTACAAGGGAATTGTTCTCAAAATTTCCTACACCAACTAACGGAAAATTCATTAGGACTTATTTACCGTTTTTCACATTAGAGAGACCGTTTGAGCCAACTTAAAATTACAACACCAGTAGATAAAGTACATGATAAACAGAATTTAATATCGTTTAATTTTCTCTAAATGATAGACCGTTTCTATTGTTCTCGTCTAATGTCTTTAATTATGGGGGCTTCTCATGGACATGTGCGATATTGGACTGAAATACTAATTACGTGTCTAGTATTATCTAAAACGTCTCTGAGTGTAATAATAATAATAATAGTTAGTAATTTGGTATCCACTGGTTGTGTAAGTTTAGCTTATTTTTCTTCGTTTGCTTTTCACTTACATTTTTTGCTCGAAGCTACACGAGGGCTAGCTGCACATTTTGTGTTTGTTTGTTTGTAATTAAGCACAAAGCTACACAATGGGCTATCTGTGCTCTGCCCACCACGGGTATCGAAACCCGAATTCTAGCGTTGTAAGTCCCCAGACATACCGCTGTGCAACTGAGGAGCCTTTTAAAGTACACCCACTGCCCAAAGGTAAAACTTAGGTTGACAATAGATAAAAACAAATTATTTTATTAAATAATAACAGGAACTTGAACTCCACTGACCTTTAGCGTATTTTCAATGGTTACGTAACCAATTTTCCGCGACACCTCATATACACCAGCGTTTTTCAAACTTTTCTCTAAAATGCTGGTAGAATTTACTTATTATTTTCATTAATTAAAACTATATTAAAACGCTTGATTTTACATTGTTGCACTATATATATATATATATATTCTTCTAATCGCTCGCACCCCCTGGGGAGGTGTCCCCCCCACATTTGGGGAGCTTACGCATACAATATAGCTGTGTTGATGAAGAGTGAAATGTAATGATTTTCAGTTTTTTTGCATCGTATAAACAAGGCCTTTTCTATATAATTATTATTTCTTGTTTTTCTGTAAAAAATCCGAAAGTGAACCTCTTTCTACTAATGAATGGGAAACTATCCGGCATTACATTACAATTTATGTTATTTGTTTGTTGTTAATCACAAAACTATACAATGGGCTGTCTGTGCTCTGCCCACTGTTGGGTATCAAAACACGATTTTCAGTGTCATAAGCCCTTATACTTACCGCTGAACCACTGGGGGGGGCAATATTTAAAGTTTATTTTCGCATCTAGATTTTCTTTTTAGTGAAAATAAGTATGACGAAACACGATATATTGTATTTCAATGAGAAAAACAACAATGTTATGAAACGGATCACCGTTGTTACTTTTTTCTCCACATTTGCTTTGATTTTTGTTTATACTAACACAGGGTAAACACTCATAGGTTAATATAACACCATATCTCAAGATAAGGAAGTCACCAGAGGTGGATATAACAGTATATATATTAACACAGGGTAAACACTCATAGGTTAATATAACACCATATCTCAATACAAGGCAGCATATTTTTTAACACAGGTCAAGCACCTGCTGGAAAATAGGGCAGCATATCTGAACGCAAGGTAAACACACACACGGTTAAATATAAAAAAATATTCAAGTCAAACACACGCAGGTAACTATGAAAGAATGTCTAAACACAGAGCAAGCAACACACATGAGTAACATAACAAGATATCTAACATAGTTAAAACACGAATTGGTAAATATAACAGCATGTCCAATACAGAGCAAACACGTACTGGTAAATACACAAAAATATAAATACTCTAAACACCAGGTGGCTGATTATTATCAAACTTATGAGGTTAAGAATGAGGATATTAGAAAGTTAAGTGAGAAAATTCATTTTATGATTTAATGAATAAAGATGAACTTATCAATTAGATCGAATTCTAAGTAGTGACTACTGCTAATGAAGTACACGCCCTTTCTTGATATACCACAAGTTGCACCGAAACGCTGGACACTAAATAAATATTATTTGTTGTCATACAAGTTGCACCGAAACGTTGGACACTAGATAAACTCATTTTTGTCATAAAACACAGTGCTGGACAATAGTAAACATTATTTGTTGTCATACAAGTTGCACCGAAACGTTGGACACTAGATAAACATTATTTGTTGTCATACAAGTTGCACCGAAACGTTGGACACTAGATAAACATTATTTGTTGTCATACAAGTTGTACCTATTGTCCAGCACTGTGTTTTATGACAAAAATGAGTTTATCTAGTGTCCAACGTTTCGTAAACATTATTTCTATCATATTACGTGGTGCCCTGAAACGCTAGATACTGGATACACATTTGTTCTTGTCATACTATAAGATTCGTCGATACGCAGGGGAACTGAAATATATTATCATATAAAAGGAGCGCCGAAACGCTCGACACTAGATAAATAACACCGATGAAACATCTTACCATTTTCTCTGTACTGAATCATGTACTTGTTAAACATGTGAAGATACTTGGACTTCTTCGGGAAGGCAAAGCCATAGCCAGTCATGGAGAACCAGGAGCCAACAGTAAGTAAGCGGCACTCGTTATCCTGCCCTGCCAAGTACTCCAACACCGTGGCGTCGTAAATAAAAGCGTCCAATTCCCTGCAGAAAACAGGAGAAAAAAAAAAACCCTTAAGTCTAGAGTCCAATTTCGCTGCAGAAAACAGGGGGAAAGATCTGTAAATCTATGCTATAATTAACTTCATGAAATAGGACAGAAAAGTCTAGTGTCTATTCGCTACAGAAACAAGATGAAAAGATCTGTAAGCCTAGAGTCTAACCCCACCTTTGTCAAAAGGTCCTTGTGTGTTGATCAAACTGAAGCCCTATGATATTATTTCTAATTTCGGCGTGAATACAATTGTTTTGGAAAACATAATGCGAATTTAGATGCTCGACATACTTTAATTACAACCCAGATAAGTTTTAATGTTGACAATTTCCACCAGGAAAATAAAAAAAATGGGAAAAGAATGATGAACTTATATTCAGTAAAGTGAAAGCTAACCCTTATAACACAGTTTTTTAGAAAAGTGCAGTTTTTATTTCGTTGGCGCTTTTATTTTCCCGCCTAATGCACAATTATAGACAACACAGTGCTCCTAAGCCTAATGCACAATTATAGACAACACAGTGCTCCTAAGCCTAATGCACAATTATAGACAACACAGTGCTCCTAAGCCTAATGCACAATTATAGACAACACAGTGCTCCTAAGCCTAATGCACAATTATAGACAACACAGTGCTCCTAACGTCTTTTATAACAGAGGTAATACAATGTGTTAACACTTCTCAAATGGCGGAGCAATTAGATGAAAAATGTGTGTACATCATGCGAATTATTTCTAGAAACAACCACATGAAAATATAGTTGTTAAAAACAACAACAACAACGTGTATGAAATCAAGTGAATGCATCATTTAGCTTTATCTAAAACAAGTTCTGTCTCCATAATTCAGAGTTCGTGAATTAGAACAATCCATAGTCCAGTTTTTGTGAATGTGAGTAAAGATAAAATAATTATAATAAAAATATGATTAAATGTGAAAATTATAATTAAAGTAAATATTTTTATTAATCTTGACGTAAAATCTAATTAGTAAATGACTTAAATAAAAATTACAATAATTACAGTTCGCTTGCTTAAATTTGTTCACACCAATAACGGTCGGGTACCATGTAAACTGATACACGGACACAGAAGGAGCGACTGGACTATTATAATGTCTTTCGTAACCAAGCCAAGCTGGTGAGGATTGGTTTTGAGCATTAGGTATCGTCGGCTCTACTAGATGTGGCAGTTTTAATGTGATTGATTGAGCATTAGGTATCGTCGGCTCTACTAGATGTGGCAGTTTTAATGTGATTGATTGAGCATTAGGTATCGTCGGCTCTACTAGATGTGGCAGTTTTAATGTGATTGACATATTTTTCTTTTTTTTTGAGATTTAGAATGAATGACAATCTTCTAGAAATAAAGAACTCCTGGAGAACAGACTCTCTCTCTTTAAGTTTTGAAGGTTTTTCAAAGTCAAATCTTCACTCTTACTGAGATATTGATTTGTCTGCTTGCTTTTCAGCTCACGACAAAGTTAGACGACGTTGGAGTAATGTATTAGGAGAACGTGATGGCTCGTGTTGTTAGTAAAACCGTTGTGTCTTCCCACAAAAAAAGAAAGAAAAAGACTAACGTTATGATCAGACCACGGTGTGTGTGTGTGTGTGGTATATCAAACACATAATTCGTATGCAGTGGACATTTTATGAACGGATTTTCAGTTGACATTATCCACTAAGATCAGTGTAGTTAAAGTTGTATATAAAGACAGACCTGGGCATGCGTGGAACTGTTAAAGGGGAGTTAGCAATGGCCTTAATTCTTGAAATTACCGTTGATCTACAGTCTTTTTTTTTTCTGGTTGAGCAAAACCTCCATAAAGGATTATTTGAGCTCTTCTCACCACGGGTATCGAACCCCGGTTTTTAGCATTGTAAGCCTGTAGACATCGAAAAACTCACTATTAATTATAAAAATTAAATACAAACTGAATAAATGGTAATGTCTCTCACGTTATTAAGAACCCTGTACCAAACAAAGCCATGGAAATTGTTGCATAAATAGTCTAGAAAATCCATATTTAATATTCTGCCATCGGTTATTCTAGGGTTAAGGTAACCGAGATAACGCGGTAAACGTTGTTTTGTCTGAGATTTAAATTTTGACCAGAACATTTCCTAAATTGCGAGATTGAGTGATGAGCGAGTTCGGATGCGAATCGAGATTTAATGTCGCTGAACAAGCTTAATACTTTGGTCACATGAGAAAAGTGGTGACCGATCTCCATATTCAGTTAGACCAAGACCTTGTGGTAGCGTGTACTGCTGGTCAGTTCACAAAGTTAGACCAAGACCTTGTGGTAGCGTGTACTGCTGGTCAGTTCACAAAGTTGGACCAAGACCTTGTGGTAGCGTGTACTGCTGGTAAGTTTACAAAGTTAGACCAAGACCTTGTGGTAGCGTGTACTGCTGGTCAGTTTACAAAGTTGGACCAAGACCTTGTGGTAGCGTGTACTGCTGGTCAGTTTACAAAGTTGGACCAAGACCTTGTGGCAGTGTGTACTGCTGGTCAGTTCACAAAGTTGGACCAAGACCTTGTGGTAGCGTGTACTGCTGGTCAGTTCACAAAGTTGGACCAAGACCTTGTGGTAGCGTGTACTGCTGGGCAGTTTACAAAGTTAGACCAAGACCTTGTGGTAGCGTGTACTGCTGGTCAGTTTACAAAGTT